ATGGAGGTTCCTTAAAAAACTAAAAATAGAACTAACATATGACCAGCTATCCCACTCCTGGGTGTATATCCAGACAAAACTTTAATTCGTAGCAGCACTATTTACAGTAGCCAAGACATGGAAACAACCTAAATGTCCAACAACAGATGACGATAAAGAAATTGTGGTGTGTGTGTGTGTGTGTGTGTGTGTGTGTGTGTGTGTATACATATATATATAATGGAATATTACTCAGGCATAAAAAAGAATAAAATAATGCCATTTGCAGCAACATGGATGGACCTAGAGATTATCATATTAAGTGAAGTGAGACAGAGAAATGTAAATCTCATATGATATCATATGTGGAATTTAAAAAAATACACATTTTATTTACAAACCAGAAATAGATTCATGGACATAGAAAAGAATTTGAGTCTTTTTAGAGCACTTAGGTATTTTTCATTACCTTCCCCCACCCCCCCCCACACACAATGGTGTGTTTTCACATATGCTGTCATATGGTTCCAGCCCAGTTCTTTGCTCTGGCCCTCTGACCAATTTGCCATGTTACTGTCTGGAATTCAGATGGTCCATATAAGGTAGCCACTCTGCCAGGCCTGGCTGGCTGTTACTAATGGTCACCACTTTGGCGCTACCATTCCTGCTTTGGTCATCTGTCCTAAGTGTGGAACAAAATCTGTCTGTAGTTCTCTATAGCACAGGCTGTAATTTTCATCAAGATATATCAAAGATTTGAGATGATTTGCCATTAGATATGGTTGCCCTTGAAGCCTGCCAGCCATGGGTCTCTTCCAGAGCACACCCTATACAGCTCTGCCTTTCTTCCTCCAGGCAAGATCAGTTCATCTCCACTAAACAAAGTGTCTTTGGGTTCCCAAAGCACTAGGCCAGGAGAAAACAAAAAATTTCCCCTTCACGTCACTCTCAGGTCTACATCATTCTATCCTCAAACTTGCTTTTTGCGAGGTAATTATCCTGTGTGATTCAAGGACAATTATGTTAATATGGAACAATCCAACATCAGTAATTTCCCCCAAGTATGGCTTTTTTAGTTTTAGGAAATGCTAAGTAAAGGACCTTCTATCAGGAAAGGTTTCTGTTGCAACTGACAGAGAACAACTGTGGCTAACATAAACAGGAAAGAGATTTGTTAGGAGGAAATTAGGTGGCTCTCAAAGTCAGGCTTAGATAACAGACAGTGACCTGTGAGGTTAGTCCGTAGGGAGCAGGTCAGGCCCAGCTACAGCTGGGGTCTGATTAGGAAGTTGCCCCTAACACAGCCACCTCTGGTCCACTTGTGTCAGCCATTGTGGTCAGAATTTATGTTTTTGTTTTTTTTTAACTTTTAGATCATAAACTAGTGCTGTCTAACAGAGGTTTCCATGATGATGAAAGTATGTCTTCACTGTCCCAGAAGTAGCCACTAAGCCACATGTGGTCACTGAGCACTTGAAATGTGGATCATGTGTCTGGAGATCTAAATTTTTAATTTGATTTAATTTTAATGAAAATGAGTTTAAATAGCCATATGTGGCTACTAGTTTACCATATTAGACAGCTCAGCTCTAATCTATCAGGGCCTATTATCTTGGCATTGTCAGTCAATTTTTTTTTCTGAAGCCACTTTTCCAAGTGTGGAAAGTGCCACCCACACCTCTAATCCTTGATTTCTAGATCCCTATATTTGGCCCATGTGAGAAACAACACCCTATAGGCCACTAGGTCAATATAAATAGCATCCTCCTAATAGGAATTGTCCATTAACCATTGCGCTAGGATGGCTTCAAAAGGCTCTTCTGTCATTTGACAAGGCCAGGAACCCCTGAATGATGGGATAATGATAAGATCAGTGGATCCATCCATGTCCGTAGGGTCATAGTTAAGTGTTATGGCTCTGAAGCCAGGCTGTCTAGATTAGAATACTGACTTAGCCACTTCCCTGCTTGGTGATTTTAAGTAGGCTACTTACGTAAGGCATTTGTGCCTCATTGTCCTCATGGGTATGATGAGGGTACCTAACTCAAACAGTAGATAAATAAATTCATAGAAAATACAGAAGAGCATCTGGTACACTGTTAGCTCTCAGTGAACGTTGGCTACTGTTGTCATTGATGCTACAGATACCAAAATGATTTACAGCAAAAGTGGATACTGATCCACTGGAAAGAAGAATAGGTATGTCTACTAAGATCCTATGAGTCAAAATGCAGACTCAAAAGTTCAAGATGCCAAACGATATTGCTGACTCGACTGGCCTGACCTCTGACAGGGTAACCCTTGCCTTCTTAGCCGAGAATCTATCTAGCCTTGTAAAATAGTACCTTCTAAAAACAAGTAGTAAATTGTTTGATGATGAGACTTCTACTCTGTATGTTGAAAGATTTAAAAAAAAATGTCAGTAGGTTTAGGGTAGCGAGTGTGGACACACACACACAATGAAGGAAACAAGGCTGATGAGTCTAATCTGTGCTGACCCTGAAACACACATGGCTTCAGAATTTACTCCTGTCATTACAGTGAGGCTTTTTATTTTTATAAAAACAGAAACCCAAAATGCAGAAAAGAAATCCAACACTCAGGTTAATACATGGCACGTTGCAGTGGTGAAAGAAACTCTGCTTGTCTTACATTTAGACATTTATTTCAGTCTTGAACTCTGCTTAGACCTCACTACGGGCCTTCAGCAGCCAGCATTTAGAAGCATACAGTCCTGTCTTAGACAAGCTTTTTTTTTTTCCTTTGCAAAAAGGAAAGAAAGAAAGGAAGAAAGAAAAACGTAATAATCCTAATCCTTCAAAGATAATTTCCTCTCTTTTCTAAAATATTTCAAAAAGAAAATAGAGGGAAGTATTTTGCTAGCCTTCTTTTGTGTCCCTAGAAGACACTGTATTATCTAGCTAGCACAATTTTCCATCTGGTTTTAAAAACTAACAGAACATATTTTGGTTGTCTATCATGTTATAGGCAGCAAATGAAAGAATTATAATATGACTTATTCCACAGTGGGCAAAGAAAAACAACCTGGAGATTCTACTTCTTCATCTGAGGTCAATAAAAATGCCCCCATGTGCATGTGTATATAAATTTTGCAAGTCTTCTACACATGTGTTTCTCAAATGCCACTGGCTCATAGAAAAGAATAAATCCCCTAGTTTTCTAGAAACCAAATCAATAAGATGTGGAATCTTCATCAGTCAAGAGCCAAGTACTTTGAAGTATTCATACATACCAGCTGGAAGAAACATACCATTGCTCCACTTAAACCTAAACACATGCACTGCATGTTATTATTACTAAATTGGATATAGTAAGGTTCACAACTTACTGAGTGCAACTATGTGCGTTTGGGCGATTTCTAGGCTGATAGAAAGTTAAAACAAAGGGACGTTATATCTAAACTGATGCTTTAACTTTTTTGTAATGGATTTCCTACAATAATATGACTTATTATGTATACTTTTACAATAGAGTTGTGTTTTGAGTAGCTTTTCTAACAGTGGAGATGAGTTTTTCTCAATTCACGTGTCTCATGTTTCGACGAACGATGGCACTCATTTGTGAGACAGCTGGCCAAGGCAAGAGGAATTTTTATTTACGCCTTTCATTTATGTCATATTAACATGTTTGTAGGACAGTGAACCTCAAAAAAGATCACACTCGTGCCATGTTTTACCCAACCCTATGCATAAATCTGAAGCTGGAATATTTACATTTACTCACATTTTTCACAATCCTCTTCTGAGATGAAAATCTGGAACAATTTACCTTTACACACAGGACTTTCTGTTTTGAACTAGTAACTAATAGAGCCAACAAAGTGTTCTAATAAAGGGTCAGCTTGTTCTTGTCCAGGAGGACAAAGGGTCAAGGGAAGTAGTGGAAAAACTGAGGGAGATTTGATTTCTCTGTTTGCTCCACTGAGTGTTAATGAGGTCCCTTCCCATTCCACTTGGTTTTAGGCACATAAGGCTGTTTAGCTCACTAGGGAGTCTTTAAAACACAATGGGCAGTTCAGAGAGAACAAAACAGCTGATGGTCCTTCTTCCCCTAGATTTCTCTAGACAAAAACCTCAAACATGAAACTTCCGAAGGAAAATAATCCTGAACCGGCCTCTTCAACTTACCTACAAATCTCCTTTTCTTCCCTCCCCGTCCCATTTCTCACAAACACTATATTGCTAGAACAGTCTCTTGGTACTGAAGGGACCGGAATGTAATTCGAATGAGTTATTTCTCTGATGAATGAGAAAGAAAATCTCAGAGATTCATGAAGGCTTCTGGGGCCATTTCTTGTTTTGGAAAATAAATTAATAAGTGCACATTATCAAAGAGAATGATATAAGTATATGTTCTATTAAAATACCGGGGTCCTGGGAGAAATCCAACCAACAGAGAATCTTCTGAGTAAACAACATCACTGGGGGCTGGGAGGACTACACCCAAATAACTTTTGCAAGTACACATTGAGATTCTCTTCAAAAGATAGATTTATATAATGCTTTAGCAATTATTTGGAGAGTACAAGTTTAAGCTGGTTAGGCGGCTGATTTATTAGTGAAATCACAAATAGATTGTTTTGCTTAATGTCTGACTGACTGATTTCTCTCCTTTCCTAATTCATGTTTTTACACACATGCAAACACAAGTACACCCCACACATACAATTGGGTATAATACTGATGTCACACTTGAGTGTGAATAGCTAATTTTGGCAATCACTTTGTAATCCATCATTAGTAACATCTTAATCTAGAGGGTTTCTTCCTTTTTTTTTTTTTTTTTTCTCTCTGTTTTTAAAAGGCATTTAATCTCTGGCTTAAACACGGCCTCTTCTTGAGTAGGAATGAAGTGCCATGCAGCCCTTCAACACAGTTCTGAGTGTCTGACCCTCGGAATATCCTTCTAGCAAAAGGAAGTATAGTCAAAATATTAAATCCATTCTTTCGAGGGTCACTTGCAGTTTATTCTCTCTCTTTTCCTCCTGTGAAAATCCCTAGTGCCTGCTGCCGCATGCTGAGGACCAGAAGACAAAAGCATGGTGGTGAATCAAAGTTGCAGTTCAAGCCCTAAAAGAGAATTTCTATTAAAATGGACAACAGATGTGAACAAAGAAAAGAAACAGATCAAAGATGTGAACTCCATCCATGAGATTATTTGCAAACACAAAGCAGGTAGAGTTTTTTTTATTTTTAACTTTCATCAATGCAACCTTCTGGGTGGAGGAGGAAATAACACCAAAAAATAAAATAAAGAAGGGAGTAGGCAGCTATGGAATAGAAAAAGATCATATCTGCAGAAAAGAATGGGATTTAAAAGAAAGCCTTTTTTTGAACACCTTATTTATGCAGGCACTGGTGGAGATGCTGAGAGTAGAGGCTTTACGACATGCCATGATCTCCACCTTGAAATATCCAGGGTCCCGTGGAGAAATCACAATTACAAAATAACTGTAATGTAGGAGAAATGGGAGAATCCCAGAGGATACAGAGTCAAATAATTATATATGTTGATACAAAACATTGATATCCTTTTGAAGAATTTTGAATTGTTTTCATAATTAAATAATGATCAACAGCCATGGTTAGCTGTTGCATAAGAATTGAAACAATTTGGAAACAACCTGAGTAATTGTTGGCTCTTAAACAATTTGCTCTACTCTTGCGCTGGAGAGTCTGAAGCAGTTCTGTAGAAGCAGGGGAGACAAAGGATAGTGAACTTGAAGCCTGTGATTTTCGGGACTTTGCTGGATGGCTACTTACAATTAGTCATTTCCTATGACTTTGAACTTCACCACATCTCTCATTGCTTTCTGACCAATTAACATTCACACCACAAGTCACAATGCCTTTTATTTGCTATTTGGCATTGCCTTGCTCCCCCAAGTACATACTCACAAATGAGTACCTCTTAGTCCAGCCTTCTCAAGTCGTTGGGTGCAATTCAGAGGTGTCTTTTGAAAAGACACAGTAGTTACTGGATGCTTGCTTGTATAGCTTTCATTTTTATAATGAAGTGTTGAGGCTGGTGACAACTATCAACTAAGTCTCAAAATGGCCCTACAGCCATGATGAATGAAGAGGATACTAGTGCTTACTTCAGATGGTCATGAAGCAGACATCAAAAAACTTGAGGTGAGAAACTTTACCTGAGTTAGTGAAAGAAAATGAGGGAAAGTATTGAGTTTGTCCTTTCTTTAAAGATCTGCTTTTCATTTTAAGAAATATCAAGTGGACCAACAATAAACACACTAACTACTTCTTTCAGGACCTTGAAAATGCTCTACAGTCCATGGAATAATTTTGAAAATCTCTTTTTTTGATAAGGATATTCATGTCAGGAAAAAGAAGACTGTAGTTCAAACTTTCCTGGACAATGAACTCAATGGCAGGAACACCCAAATCAAGTCAAAAAACTGTCCCACATTCTAAATCAGAAAACATGATAATTATTCTTAAATGTTTAGGTAACATAAATTACAGTGAGTCCCATAAATTATGGGAGTCATGACAATTGTATTTTTATGTGCTAATTTCTTTTTTATAGTGGGCATTCACACCAGTTTTATTCAGTGAAGAACATTGTCCTAGGAGCTTAAATGATCATAAAAGTTGCTTCTAAAATTTTATGTGTCCAAAGTCAATCCACAAAATGGAAGATACATTTATTTTTGCTTTCTTTTATTCTGAGTAGCTGGGCTGGTTAAAAACAACAACAACAACAACAAAATAGGTATCTAAACAAATGGAAGAAATCAAAAAATAATATTTTCTGATTTTAATTTATTTCTATGAAGAAGTAAGTTCCATTTTGAAATCATCTGTTTTGTGACACAGTATCCAAGAATATATTGTGGCAAAATGTAAGTTTGTGCCTTGAAGTAATCTAACTTCACAGATAAACACATTAATTAATTGGAAAGGGTAATATCTCACTTCCTATCCTGATAGAATGAAAAAGGACATAAAGTTAAAAACAAATCAATAGCACTTCAGAGTGATCAAATTATTTTTACAGTGAGTGGGTGGGTTCATGGACAAAGTGAATTTTGAAAGAGTTAGAACACAAGAAACAGGCAGCTATTTAAGGTGCACATGAAAGGAAGTTAGAATGGGAATTCAACCTAACAACACTGTGATTTTAATTATTTATCATAATGAGGGATGAAGTTAAGAAGACCATATATAAAAGAAAACTGTAGAAAAGAACCAACATTTCTTTTTCTAGTAACTTGCATCTTCCCACCATATTTTTCAGAAAATCCTATCTGCCTACAGGCAATAAAATTGTCTAAAGTCAGTGTAACCTGTTCTTTTCATCTGCTTGGTCTGATGCATGTAACATATATCAAAGACAAAGACCTAGTTTGAGGAAGGGCAGCAACATTCTGGAATAACATCTAACTGGATGCTCAGTTCTGGAGAAGTTAAAGACTAATTATACATAGTTATAAATGTATATGGAATGACAGGAATAACAGTAATTTTTAAAGACCATTAAGAAAAGGCTGATGCACAACAGCTGAGAGTTCCATAATAGACTGCTTATCAACAAAACGACGTGGTTTTGCATCTGATTCCCAAATGTTCATAAAAGAAGCGAAGCACACAAAAGGATCACATTGCTTTCCCTCCTAGTGGATATCATAGGTCCAATGCCTGTGTTCCATAAAGTAGACGTTCTTTCTCTCCAGTCCCACCTTCTCTCCTGTCCTGCCTTGCACTTCACCCTTCAGAAGCACCGAAGTATTCAATCTGTCCTTACTCCCTTCAGCTGCTTCCTCCAGCACACACTTATATGATGCTGTTCCTTTAGAAATTCTCCTACAAATTTCCCATATTTTGTTGCTACTCATTCATCTTTGTGTATGGTTCAGGCATTGTTTTCTATAAGAAAATTCCCCTGACCCCATATTTGAACTTACTTGCATCTCTGAGTACTCTAAGTAATTCTGTGCTATTATATATATAAAAATACCATCCATTTCCTTGTCTGTCTCCTTAAGTAGACTTTTAGCATCTCCCATATAGGTGTGTGCTTCAATCAGCTCTACCACATAGCATGGCACAGGGCTCAATATATACATGGTGAAATAAACCCAATAGAACTGAAAGCTAGACTCTATCAGAGCTTGTTAAAATGTGGTCCACCAGCTGGTACCGGACCATAAATAGTGTCTGATGCTCTGCATTGAAATATGTACAGAAATTACGAGTGAGCATTTAGGAGCTTTTATTGCAACTTGATATTGCTGCAATATTTGAAGTCATGACTTGTCTCATTGAACAGGGTATAGACCAGTTTGACTGCTGTCAGACTGATACGGTGAGTCATATGTGGCATGAGGTACGTAATAATCATGCATTAGTAAGGATACATGTCAGCATTTTCAGGTTAGTCAATTATAACCCCCAAATATGTAGAAATTTGAGAAAACATAAGCATGTGTTTATTCTTAAAACTTGTCATTTTCATTCATTATAATCAAATTAAATTTATCATTTAATAATAGGCAAAATAAATTATTATTTGCATTTCTAGTTAATATACGGTAAAATAAGCTTCACTGGATTACTTTTGGTAAAAAAAGAAGCATTTCTCTGAATAGGGCTATAGAGATAAATGAAATGATGATGCTAATGATGACAATGATTTCAAAGAAATAAAACCAAAAGAGTTTCTACTGCTGTTTTTTGGAATTATGATTGTTATTCCTCAAGTTGAGTTCCACTCCGTAACCATAACTGATGGTGGAATGCTGAAATCGCAGTTGGTTATTAGCTAATACTTATTGGCTAATGAAGTAAAGAATCTGTCCAAAGTTAAGGGTCATTTACATATAATTGTAAACCATATGTTTAAAGCCAAAAGGATACTAGAAGAAAGTCTAATAATTAAAAAGCTGACAGAAGCAGATGTTTAATATTTCATACCTACTTATTAATAATTTTTGGTCTTTTTGAAATGTAGCATTTTGGATTGATTAGAATAAGAAATCATATACACCTGTGGAAGCACTAGTGAAAGGCTGAATCAAAGAAGCTCTTTTAGAAATACTGGGAAAATCTGCAGAGAAATGAGATGATGCATCAGTCTCCAGTAACATCAGAGTTTGATGTTTTCAGGAACTGGTTAATTCTATGGAAGTCCTATGCATAGAATAAACAAATCTAGCAGGGTATTTTTTTTTATTGCACTTGGCAAATGGACATATTATTAACATAGCAATTCCTTTAGTATCTGTGCAATCTGAACAGGATAGTGATGTGAAGGAAGAATTTTTTTCTTTCTGATCTTCATTAATGACAATGAATGCTAGCTCTGAACTGTATAAAAGTAAGGAAACTATGACAGATTACATTCCAACAAATCTGGTTTGGGGCTGAAGTTTTACGGAGGACCGTTCCTATGATGATGTGTCAGTTGTGATGGAAAAACATTCTGGAGTAGCTGTCTAGATTAGGAGCTTGAGTTAGGATGCACTGCTCCCTTCATCAAGGAAATCTTGCTATTAAATAAAAAGACATATGCACTAAGCAGTAGCCTAACAATGTAGTAAAAATTGTGAATTATGTAAAATCTAATGCATTAAATTAGAGATTATTCTCTTTATTATGAGATAATATGGAAACTGATTATAAACTACTGTTATTGCACCCTGAAGTGAGCAGATGAAAGGGAGGAAATTCTGTCAAGAGGGTTTAAACTATGAAATACGTTCTTTGTGCATCTGCAAGATATAAAACAGTTTGGTCCCGAATGTTTAAAGATGGGAATTGACCTACTGGAATTTCTTTTCTCTGTTTTTGTTTTTCGAATGCTCTTAATACTTGCATGCATGGGAGAAAGCCATGCAACCTGTTTTTCATGGGCTGATAATATTGAAAAACAAAAATAATATAGAAGCTTGAAAAAAAATAGAGCTTCTATAGATTATCATAGATTTCATGAAACAACAATTTTCAATAAAGTGGGTGATGATCTTGAAATTGCGCGTCTGCAAAGTTACCAACAAACACGTTAAAATTTGATGGAATTTTTTTTTGTGTGACTCTGACAACAGAAAATTCAAAATTGTAGTTCATATGCCTTTATTTCTTTCATTTTATTATTCTAATAATTTATTTTTATTTGTATTTTACAGTAGTTACGTACAAATAAATCACTAATGAAA